CTATAGCGTTACTCTTGCTCTTAAAAGTGGCACTCCGAGAGCCATCTCTGGAGAAAAGGGCCCAAGTTAAAAAGGGACCGCCCTTTCTCTCTCTGAAAATTCACGCCCACAGACCAATAAAGAAATTCTGGATATGATTAGAAAATTTCCGACCAATACAAAATTTAGCCGTTATCGCTTCATGGGCCTGAGGAAAGGGATTTCCACCCAACCACCCACGGCTTATAAAAAGCTCTGTACAAGGCTGGAGAGGAAGTTAAGTGAAGTTAAGCTCAGTTCAGTCAGTTAAGTTAGAGGAAGTCAAGTTCAGATAGAGTAAGTGCGGAGTGAGCACCAGGAAGTCCGTAATAAGAAGTTTTTACTAGTGAGCGAGTCCCGGAGCAAGCATCAAATCACCCAACTATATTCAGAACATATAGAGAGAGAAAGAGGCCAAAGAGCAGAGAGAGAACGCAACATTAATAATAACTAAATTGATAAAATAAAAGTAAGTAAAATCTTAAACCTGGCTATCCTTTTCTTTCTTTAAGTAATCCGCCTTTCTTTTGGAAATTCATTAAGCGTGAGTCTGGTGAATTTCCATTAAAGTCCCTTAAGAACACATTAAGCGTGAGTCTGGTGTGTTCGTAATAACATTTGGTTATTACATTCCCCGTTAGCATACAGTTTTCTCAACGCAACAATATTGCTCGTCCCGGCTTGTGTGTTACACGATAGCCAAATCAGAGCAACCCTGAGTTTACGCTTGCTCCAAGCGTACCTGAGAGTGACCCCGACGTCACAGTTAATTAAGAAATTATTAATATTTCATTGTAAAAACTGAATTTCTATTTTAAATGGAATCCAACATTTATAATATATTATCTCAAGAAGGATTCATGCATACAATATTTGATATATGCAATTAGCATTAAAATTGTATAATTTGGTATTGATATTTAAAAGATTACAACAATTTTCGGAGTAAAAGAAATGAATTCCTAAATCATAGTTTTACAATTTTAATCACTTCAATAATAAATAATTTCACAATACCGAATACTGAAAACGTTCTTGTAATTATTTGAAAAAAGTAACAAAAAACAAAAAAATATGACAGCTTATAGGTTTTCAATAGAACATAGGAAATAATAAAGAATGTAGTTGATATAATATGACGATGAAGATTAGAGTACAGTTCCATATGCAGATATCGTAATTTTTTTCAGAATATGATGCTGAGCAATTTTTTCCCAGAGCACAAATGAATTTAGAAAAAGTATTTAGTAGTCAGTAGTGTACTTAGAAAAGGTATCGTAGTGCTGATTTGTAAAATTCCGTAAATGTTTATTTAAATTAGTTTCTTTCTACCCATTGGTCAAGAAAATCAAGCCTCTCAATATCTTAATTAGGCTTGTTTGTACTCGACTGCACAAGTATAATAGCTTCTTTTACATATCTCGCGAGTTCGAAAAAGCTAAATACAACATTTATGCAAATTATACGACATAGGATCTTAATGCGCTATGTACTTGCGGCGCAGATAAAACAATAGTTATAAGATGATGAAAATCGTTTCAAAACTTGGCCAAATAAAGACACGACTTTCAATTACCATGCTAGCTATGCATGCCATTCGTATGTTCACGCATCTTATCACGCACTTAGATCAGGCGCGGTTCCGTAGACACGCGACGTGCTCTTTCGCACATCCCAGCGCGGCGATATATCGGCACGACTAGTGGTTCAGTCGGCCTTTCGCCCGACTATACCTACGTCAGACAATGCGCAGCTCCGAACAAAGCGCATTCGTACCAAAATAAAGTTCTGACCTTCAATACAAAAGAGTCCGACCATAGGAGAATCCAGGATATGCTATTGTTTGCCCAGGCTAAGCGGCGTACAATTGATGAAATTCAGATTGTGCTTATCTAGATCAAGGAAATACCAGACTGGCTTACGACGCTTTGCCGAAAATCGAGATTTACGGCTTGCCCATGAATCACAAACTCTGGCCAAGACTTTAATCAACTGAAGTAAATTATCTCTCTTTGGAAAATTAGTTAAGAAAATTTATCAATGCTCACTTATTAAGGCAAGCTCTTGGAATGTATTGAAAAAAACCGATATACTCGTTTGAATGGAAATGGAAATGCCATTTCACATTAACTACAATGTACTTCATTGTGTTTCATTCAAAGTACGTTTTCTAACAATTACGACAGTATGTCAGTTTTTGTTATCCGCTGAAATCAAAAATTAGAGTGGTCGTATACGCAACTGGGTGTAGTCGTGAGATTGGCTGAGTTGTCAAATAGCTACACCATTTCGCGTAATGAAAGCGAAATATTTTTCGCAAGTGAATCTGGTTATTACACTAGTACGATGACGAACGAAAAGTGACGTGGCTGGCGAGCAGCAGGCAAAGTGGGCAGCGTATACCCAACCCAGACAAAATCATAACGTAATCAAATTTCCCCAAGATCAAGGTAAAGTCACCTCGGATTACGCAGAGTTCGATTGCAACTCGATAATCAGAATCAAAGTGAAACGAGTCCTGCGACGTCGTCAAAAAGCACCAACGCAGATCACACAACTATACATGACCTTGATATCGACCGCCGCGGCACCGGCATGGCGCGCCGGATGAGAAAGGCTTTCACGCTCCTACTCGCAAGGTCGCCCGCTCGTCCGTTCCTTTTCTCACGTGCGCAAGCTGCATTTATATACGCATTTACATCCGCCACGCGCACTGACCGTTGCACAATTGCCGCTGCTACACTCCAATTCGATTTTTCTCTCTTTTTTTTTTTTTTTCTTTACCGTGGATGTCGAATGGAGTGCACTATATAGCAAAATCCACCTTCGAGACACCTTTTGATCTCTGTCAGTGATTGTTGCGTCATCGACCTCTAATACGGAGCGCTCTCGATGTTTCGTTGGCTCGCGGAACGGTTTTTTTTTTTCGGCTTCGCGGACAAACGGCATTCTTACATCTGATTTTATGAATATCAAAATTTGAACGGGTTAAAATTACACTTAACTTGTCTAGACAATTTTTTCTGAAAATAATTGTTGTATGTCTTGAACGTAGATGCACCGTTGGATGATGTATGTAGCAATAGTTTATTTCCATACAGATCATTGAAAATATCCCATTCTCATAGCTAACATGTCACGTTAATATCGATTTGCCGATAACATCAATATTTTATAAGAATCTTTTTAAGACTTCCGGGACGTCTTAATGCAGTGAAATAAATGACGTAGGCATATACTGATGGAACTGATATTATAAATTTGCCGTATTCCGTAGTCAAAATTACTACAAAATATAGTAATCGTGGGATATATACTTTGACTGTAGAGAAAATTGCCATCTAACAGTAAAATTTTAATGATGGAAATTTTACTACGTAATACAGTAAAATTTACTAGAACCCATAGCGATTACCACTATAAGTAGAATATAGAAGATTAGCTCGACAAATTTTACTATGCCATAGCAATGTTTACTGCTTTGGGAAACTCAATTAAAATGCTATATTTGAATCGAATTGTTGTCGGAGGTCACATTAATCTTGACATTTTTCTTGAAGTAAAGCCTATACGATTCATTGATACATTACAATTATTATCTATATACATATATATCACATATCTTTATCTATTTAGTAGATCGCAAGTTAAACTATTACATATAGTTCGTCTGTTAGCCGCTTAACCGTATGATTCAGACTATTTTCTCAAATATCAATCAAATATTTATTTGACCGGTAGCGAGAACTAAACTGCCATCTGCATATAGCCCCTGTAATTTATTACCTTATCAGTTGCACCTTTGCAAAATGCAGTTGTGAAGAAGCAATTGCTAACTTCCGCATGCGCAAGGGACTTCATTTCGACTCCAATAATTGTTGCTATGTTCGTTGTAAGAATTGTTCAAATGATAATAACTTATACCAGATATTTTAACGTATAGTATTATCTATTTTTTAAATTGTTATTACTTAATCATTTTCTTTATGGTACCTAATAATTTTTATTCATTGTTATAATAGACTTTTGAATGTCGATTTGCCGATAAAATCATAAAACATATACATAATAAAAATTAAAGAAAGTTAAATAAATTTAATAGTGACTGGAGCATATCCCACAATCACTACGTTTCATAGTGAATTTTATTGCAACTATCGCACATTTTATCATAGCAATTCTTTCAGTGCAGGTACAATAAAAAAACTAGCGTAACATACCTAAAAAATATCAGAATTATATGTATTGAAGCAACATATGCATTTTCGCTGTCCGTTCTAATTGTTTCACTGTTCATTGCTTGAGATTGGCAGCCTGCGCTATCAATGTGTATACATTTCATCCAGTAAGATTCAATAAAACGATTGACCACCTCAACTGTGAGCCACTGTGTATTGATATTTTTGAATTGTAGACTACAACTGGCTGGTAACTGGCATGGCATTTTTATAACGATAATTCGTAAAGTGATCATTTGATTCCACTAATACGATAATCTTTCGTTTGAACTGTCAGTTTGCAACTGTCAAAGAACGAAAAATTGTTCTTCCAATTAAAAATCAGCTTACTTATTATAGCTATTGAAAAATTGAATTTCGGAGTGGAGAACTGAGAATAACATTGAGCTAATCGAAAATAAGGGTAATAAAATATACAGGTTAATATAATGATAAATATAATTTCTTCCGAGGGTGACAGAAGATAAGAATGAAACGGCGTTCGGATGATCCATTGGAGAAAAGACCCTCAGTAATATTGCGCCCTCATGATCAGCGGCGGTCATAGGCGCGCACCTAACTGCGTCGCGCGAGTGCGTCGAGGTGAGGGTAAGCAAGACTTAGAGAGCAAGTATATGGAGACTCGTGTGTGTATGCTCACGGCAGCAGATATCAGCTGTTACCGGCGGTGGCGGCGGCGGTGGCAGCTGCCTCAGCTCGGAGGCGAGCGGTGAGCGTGTCAGTCGTCAGTGCCCTGTGCTACGGTTAGGAGCGAAGCCGCCGTCGCCGCCACCACCAGCGAAGCCCCGCAAAGGCTTTCTATCCAGCGAGGAAGCGCGCGCGCTCTATCCTTGAGCCGCCGCCGCCGCCGCCGCCGCCGCCGCCGCCGCGCGCGCGATACCATAGCCCGCGATATAGTCCGAGCTTTTGGACACTCAAGATTCGACGCAGCGAGCATTTCCATTGTCTCGTTATTACAGTTTCTTTCATTCCTATTTCGTTTGGCTTCTGCTTCGGTCTCTCGTGCTCGTTCATGGTTGTATTGTCGCGCGTGGTGCCAAGTGAATGCCGGAACAGCACCGCGATGATATGGTGATACGGCACGAGTGAGAAGGTCAGAGGGTACGTCATGGCGTGCAGCGGCTTTTCATTTGGACGGAGCGTTACCAGCTCAGCGCTTGTCTTACTGGTGAGTTGATGTTGCTCGGCGCCCATATTACGCGTTCTTGATTCTTATTCGATATATACGTATGTAGCAGCTACTTGCCGGGCAAATATCCAATGACGAGCCGACTGCGTTTAACACCTGATTATACGGACATGCTCGGGTGCTATGGAACATAATCAGTGAAAGCCGATTTTGTCGCGCTTTCGACGACAAATTAACTTTGAAATCATGCTAATCGACTGCATTTCTGAGAGTTTTTTTAGCGGTCGTCGGAAATACGGTTTGTCACAAAGTTGCAACAGATAGCGGCTAGTTGCGTAGGCCGAACTTTCAAGGCAAAAACAGGCCGCAATCGCGAGCGCGAGAGCGTTCGCATACACCTATATAAACCGCTATCCTTTATCAGCGTTTAAAGTCGCCTGGTTTCGATCGGCGTCGATCGGCGTCGATCGGCGTCGACCTCTCGCGCGATGCAGATTGTAAGCAGACCGAGACGAGCATCGTTACGTATAATATTCTCGATTGGCGACCACGCGAAACTGCAGGCAGCGTTAAGGACCACTGCAGGCGTTAACCCAGTTGCAGGCCGACTGTGGGTGCCTCGTGCGCGCGTCCGCCCGCGGCGAAGTAAGTGAGTTACCGTACGCGATAACCCCATTCGCGCGCGCGTGCAATTGACAAACGCGTGGCCGATCGGCCGCAGCACGTGTCGCCGGGGTCCGTTATACCCCGTCGAGAGCCGAGAGAGAGAGAGCATCCTCGGCGCGCCGGGCGTGAAATTAAGGCCGCGCGACGCGCGTCCTTTCTCCTTCGAAGCGCTGCACAAGAGGAGGAAGCCGCGCGTTATCGGCGACGCCTGATCGCGGAATGCACGGGGCGCTCTTTACCGTTATATAGACTCCGGCGCGTGTGCACCGCGTGTAACTTGCGCCAAGCGACAAGGGTTACGCGTGAGTGAGAGCCGCCGCCGAGTCAAGGATCACTCGCGCAGTCCGCTAACTATACAGCCGATTCTATATGCGCCAGTGCTCTTATCCAGACAGCTTCGCTAGTGTAAGCAGGCCTGCCCCTCGAGAACGGCGCGGATTCGAGACATTCTTTGCTTTTCCAGCATTTTATTCTCGCTCTAGCGTACGCGTTAACGATTTTTTCCTATCCTAGACTTTATGTAGACGCGGCTGAATAGATATTTTATGTTTTAATTCTTGCGTCTCATATAAAACGGTAGCTTTCAATTCACATCGAAGGTTGTAGTTTTACGCGCATGTTCAGCGATTGCGCTAGTGACGATATGTACGTAGAAAATATCGTAAATCTTTGAATTTGCTAACTTTTCCGTGTAATTACCTTAAATCTGTCTGGTACTTGCATCCTTCCACTTGGTTAAGCGCAACATTACGTATGCGATAACCCAGAAAGTTCAGCTTTTAATTGCCGTATAAAATGCGAGAATAAGGTAATCACCGTTTACGCGCGAAAGCACTAAATTTTCGGAATTTGCGCGCGCGCGCGCGCGCGAGCGAAAAACCAGCGCAGCGGCTGCGGCAGAAATGAAGCTCGGCAAGCTAAGTAGCGACGGGGCGCACACGCTGATGATGAGAAAACAGTTGGGAATTGCCGAGGGGAAATCGCGGACTGACGCGATACGCGCAGCCAGAGCACCGTGTTCGCTTGCATGCAGGTCGATCTCGGTAGATCGAGCGTTTCGTTATGCAAGCTCGCGCTGCTAACGCGTGCCAATCGCCCCCGCCCACTCGATATTTTCCCTTCATTATGAGATAAAGGACGACGAGTTGATAATGCACTTTGCGCTCGCCTCTCACATTTTGCAAAATACCATTGCTCTCTTGTTTTATTCCATTCCACGTGGCTGCTGTATGCCGCGTACTCGGCTACGGGCACGTGCTAATGCTAGCAACGAGAAACTTCGTTCTTTAACTTTACGACCATTCGGTCATTGAATTAAGTCATACTACAATAGCACTTAGAGTAGGATCTCAATTATCTATAAATATCCAAAGCCCGTCTTACGGTAACCCGAAACATAATCAAGACTTCGGAGAAAAAAAATTTCACTCTCGCTTTACTCGCCGGATTCTTCCAAGAAAACAATTCAAGATAAATACACGATCGGCATCCTTTAGTTTTATAAATATGATTGATGGATCTTACAATATCGGCTTTTTCGAAATCCAACACGAAAATGATTTTCACTTGACTACGTAATTACACGTCGCGCTATCGAAGCCGATGCAAAGGACATCAACACACAACGCAGTAGGCGTGCATGGAATTAATTAACCCTGAAAAGATAGGTGTTCGCGCCGGCTACGCAGATCCGGATACGCGTGTTAAATTTATTTTGAGCAAAAACGACCACTTGGATTTGGTTACTCGACATCTGTGAACGTATATAAACCATCGGCGAAATTCCGGCCATAAATCATACTTATGTACCACTTGAAAGAAAACGGCGATTGTTAATGCGTAACTGCACAGAGAGACACGAAGCGCAGAGTTCAAATACTTGGATTCAATGACATTGATCTTTGTTGAAACTCATCAAGAGCCATGCTTGTGTTGCAGTGAATAGTTGCTAAATTCTGGCTAGGAAACTGGAATTTCCATTGTGAATTGAAACTTGGAAGCGATTCATCGAGCTAAAATAGAGAGAGAAAAGCAACGAGCTGAGCCTCGTTGAGATTTCATTACGGCAATAAGTTGGTCGTACGCACAATCAAAACAGTGGAAAGCCCACTGCGCGACAGACAACGAAATAAAAAGGGAATTGGTGTCGGCAGCTTATCTCTCGAATACATTTTTCAAATCGATCGAGTCAATCGAGCATCGATCACGCGCTCTCGAAAGAACGAAATATACAGGCCTTTTCGCTGGTCGTCGCGCGGCCTACGTAGCTAAGCACACACAGCCTCATATTCCCTGACAGATCTAATGGATTATACAAGAAGGCAGGCAGGCAGGCAGGCAGGCAGGCAGGCAGGCAGGCAGGCAGGCAGGCAGGCAGGCAGGCAGGCTGCCAAAGTATTAAGCGAGTATAATTCCACTTTACATAATGTGCCTCCGCTGCAAGAGGCCGCGCAGTTCAAACACTCATTAGACTTTATTAATTGCTTCTCACGCGTTAGCGACAGTCGCCTAATGGGCGCGCGCGCGCACGAACAAAACAAAAAAGCACCATCGATTCCGTATCCCCCTGTCTCTCGACTTGTTTTACCGCGGCGGCTATTGGTTTCCTTTACTCGCCTCGCGGCTACGACTCGCGCTATATAATTACAGAGAGCGCGCGCTAATAGTGTACGATCACGCTGGAAAGAAAAGATAACAGCTCATTATCTTGGGCGTATTACCTTTTTTCGAAGGAGCATCGATGATCTTGAGGATAAGTGACGATGTATTCAATCATTTTTCAAGTTCGTTGTACCTGTCCTCATGCTCATCACTCTTATTTTGGTACAAAGTTGCGTACGAGTGGCAAATCATAATCCGTTGAAGGATATACCAGAACGTTCCATAGAGTTAATTCGTCGTTGTCCTACTGCGGCAAATCAATCTCACGGCGCATTGCTACCGATTTATTTTGAAGTCGATCCCTCAGTCATGTAGTCTCACCCTGTATTTCCTGTCTGGTTCAACAAGACACTTCCTGCCGACTAGATAGCTCTGGCGACGTACCGTTCGTTGATCAGTCATCCAGCAATTATTTTAAGTGATCCGGTCTTCCCACTTCCAACCGCTCCAAGCCAATTAATTAATTTGTCATGACGCTAAATTGAAACAATCAAGATTGGCTCTCAGTATGGGGTGTGTGCCGCGTGTGCTAACCTGCCAGTGTGGGGACACAAAAATTAAGAAGTATAGCCGTATAGCCTAACGTGCCAATTATAGATAATTTTATTTCTTAGTATTGATGAATCAAAGCTACGTTTTCCTTGGGAAACTTCATACGCGTACTAAATTACTAAATCACGCGGAATATTCTTTAATCTCATCTTTTATGACTTCCTCAAAATGATCGGTTCCAGAAAAAAATGTTTAATGATATAAAAAATTAATTCAATTTTTTATTTCTATCGTTGAGCCAAAGAATATAATTTGTTTGATCGATAAACGTAGCTTCAAATTTGTTTAGTCAAACAAAGAAAACAATATAAATTTCGTTATCGATGGCTATGTATTGGCAAGATGTAGAAGTGTTCAAGCCATGCAATGGTCACATCTTGACCAGTGAAATTTGAAGAAAAAATTATTCCTGTAAAAAGTTAGTCTATACCCTTGTACGTCAGAAGAGTGACGGAGCTATTTTCTTGTCTCGCAGTCGCGCTCTGGTTTACGCTAATATATAATGCAATGTATCGGCCTCCGAGCACCTGAACTCATAAAAACTGCGAACAGCATTTGTGAATAATTCGAAGCGCTTGCGAAAACAGCCCCCGCTAAGCCCGTTATTTATGCGTCTTACAACTCTCGAAAACCACTTATACACTCCTACATAACATGAAAAATCAAAGCTAACCAGCATAACAATTCATAATAATGTCAGTTACAGGAATAATCAAATAATGAAAGAATATACTTGCAAAGTTGCTGTTTTAATAGCGTAAAACAATCGTCATAATCGAATGAAACTTAACAAGTTTATGTTTTCTCAATACAGATAATAATAGCAACTAAAGAGTAATTGTTAATAGCATTTCAGCAGAACTACAGACAACGCTGTTTTGATCTTTACATAACATTGATAGCTGTTATCAATATAGCTATAATCTTCTAATAAAGTAAGATTTTAATTAAAAATATAAAATTTTGTCATTAATCACGTTAAAGATTTTACATTGCAGTTAATGTAATAGTATAAACCATTTCGTAACTATGATGTACTATTCATTAAATTCTTTTAGTATGAAGTATCTAAAAAAATTTGACACAAAAGTTCTCCATGTTTGGTTTTCTTACTGTAATTATAATCAGACAATAAAATTATGTGTTAATATCTGCAATTT